ACTCCGCCAAAGTGACCGCTAATGTTGGGGCAAAGTGTGTAGCTAAGAGACCCTATTATTTGACAAGCCCATCATCATGCTAGAGTTAAAATTTGATTTCAGAGAAGTGCTACAGGAAATGGATAAAATTGGCTCCCCTACTTAAATCCTTCTCCCCCAAAACTATTTGGGATAACCCCTTTTCTATACCACTTACACTACTATGCTTCTTCCCACTCTAAGACTTTTACAGCTACTGTAATTCTCTCTACTAGGGTTCTTTATTTTATCTAACATTCAGTAGTCTAATCTAGGGGTCGCAATTGGATGGGTCAGGTCAGGTCAAGGGTCTGACCTGTTGACCCGTGGGTCAAGAAAACACTGACCCGACCCAACCTGTTCAACCCAACGGGTCAAACCTTGGGTTGACGGGTTGGCAATGATTTCAACGATTTCGCAATGATTTCAACGATTTCTAATCAAAAGGAAACAAAATGACGAGTTTAAGAAGAAAATATATACTAAAAGTAAAATAAACAAGCTCAATAGTTTTATTTATTGATTGGTTTTTTGATAAATCGTCTATACTAGCATTGGCGTTAACTGGCCAGAACTCAGAAACTTAATGGGCAGATTGGGATAGAGACAGAGAGAATTTGAAGATTATAAAAAAAAAGGGAAGGCAAATAAGTCAGCAGCAAAAAAATCAGCACTGTATTGCATAGTCAGCGAGACGGGCTAAATAGTGTGTTTTGCAATAAGTGGGCGATGGACAATCATATTCCTATGCATTTATAGCGGATGAAACAAAAGAAAAGTTGTCGTATGTGAGATTGTGGTATTGACAACAAATACCATGCTGAATAAAAGTAGTGGTACTGAGCAAGGACGGGGCAGTGACGAAAAAGGACAGGTGTAAAGAAAAGACAAGTGGTGCTGGAGTGGCGACAAAAAAGGACAGGTGTAAAAGAGAAGTGGTGCCGCAGCAGCAACAAAAAAGGATGCGGTAAAAAAAACAGTGAGAAAAAGGCTGCAGATAAGAAAGCAGTGATGCTGTATTTGTACCAGGGATGAAGTATTGAACGCAATGACGAAAAGATCGAGCTATAATAATGATTGCTGCCTAACGGTAGTCAAACATTGTGTTTAGTCACTGTAGACAAGTTGATTTGGACGATCGTAAAATTAAAGGGAAACGTACCTGTACCATCCAGGAGTGTAGAGAAAATGACGTATTTGCTCCAAAAACATCTAGTTACACCAGCATTAAAACGTTTTTGGAGAATTGTAAAAGAAGCTTTATTTATGCTACATAATAGATCAACTAAAGCTTCAAGTATATGTATCCAAAGCATGGCCAAACTGGGCATGATGTCCGTATACCCAAAAGCAAAAGATGTACTGTTTTCTAAGTAGTAGTTATATTTCTATTCTATGCAACGTAAACAGCGATAAAAAAAGATATAAATATATACAAGTTTTCCGTTTTCTTGCAAAGTAATCTTTATTTTCTCAGCTATTCTTTTTGATACCTAACAGCCTTCGTACCTAGCACTTACACCATCATGGAGTTCACCCGTTCTGACAGCAATTTGTCCTCTATGTCCTTAGATCCCACTGAATCTGAAGCCGGTGACTTTCACGAAGCAACCACAAGCGAGACAGAACACAGTGCAGCAATGGTTAGCCAAAGTAGTACGGCACGGGTTCATAAGAGCCATGGATTTACAAATACAAGGTTGCAGATGCTACAAAAGATGAGAGGAATCGCATTATCAAGATTACTTGTTCAAGGTGCCAAAAGTCATATATTGGTTTATCTACTGGTAACATTATCCGTCACCTACTAAATAGACACAGCATTATGAAGGAGAAGTGCGAGCAAGGCAGCGTGGCAGTTGTTGGGCCAATGGACAGTTTCGCTCGTGGTGTTATGTCTATCCAAGCAATGACCGTTACTCAAGAAGTATGGCGGGAGCAACAAGCACGTTTCATCATCAGCACAAAGTCTGGATACACGATGGTGGAAAATGAAGAATTTCGCAAGTTCATCTAGCTCACTCAAGCTGCACCGTCGTTTGATGTTGTCGCGCCGATTACTGCCAATACCATCAAGAGCGACATCACCTGGTTATATTGAGTCGAGAAGGCGCGCATCATGTCCTATTTGCAAGCGCAACAATGTCTCTCTTTTTCCGTGGACGCCTGGACCTCAGAGTGGGGGTATGATTTCCTTGGTATTACCGCTCATTTCATTGACGAGTACTGGGTGCAGCGGGAGGTTTTAGTCGGTCTCTAGCATCCAGATGAACGCCATTCCAGAGAAGCTCTTGCAGATCATTTCCTAAGAGTGCTCGACGATTTCGACATTACTCATCTCCTGTTTGCCAGTACCACCGACAATGCTTCCAACAACCTGTCCATGGCTAAAGAGCTTGAAAGGCGTGCCGAGACAAGAGGGGAGAGTCGTCGCGCATTCCATTTCCAGGCAGCCAAACACCTTATCCCATGTATTGGTCACGTCGTCAATTTGGTTGCGCAAGTACTGATCAAAGATGGGTTGCGTTCACAGCCGTTGCTCGATAATGTTGTTGAATCAGATATCGCGGCCGATCAAGGTATTAGCAACGTGGTGTCCAAGTTAAGAGTAGGAATAAAGAAAATCAGGTAGGGTATAAATCACTGGCATAAATGGTCAGGCCGCTTACACACATATTAACTTAAATTTACCATGTTCTAAGGATGTCCACTACCAAGTACCGAAAACAATATCGTGAATATTGTTCTATGAAGTATGGCGAGCAGCTCGAGCTACAATTGGATATGCGCACACGATGGAACTCCACTTATGATATGCTGGTACGGGCGTTGAGGGTGAAGGACGCGTATAATGCAACCTGCGAATTCTTTAGCGAGTTGTCGATATATCGGTTGGATCCCCAAGACGAGCCATACATGAAAAATGTCATAGCATTGCTGGATAGTCTAAAAATTATGACGGAAGAGCTATCAACATCACAGTAAGTTATTACGGAAAATATAACATGCTGTAATAGCATCACATACAGCAATGTATTAAGCAACATGGTCCATCAAGAGTTACCCGTCTATCAACAAAATAATCTTCGCATACAACGTGCTCATTGACGATCTCGAAGACTTCCAAGACGACACGTCAAATCCGCAAATCCTGCGTGACGCAGCAAGACAGGCCCAAGCAAAGCTTGAAATGTATTATGCAAGAACCGATTCGTCCACCGTATATGCCGTCGCCGCAGCAATGGACCCATGCCTGAAGTATGCTTACTGGGATGAACGGGAATGGGAGCCAGAATTTAAAGAGACAGCTAGAATGAGTGTCGAAGCAGAATGGAGCACGTTCAAGACTGTGAGTGGCACCACTGACCGTGAGGCTGGAGCACTGTCACCTGAGGAGATACGTCGCAATCGCTACTGTCCCAAGAGGCAAAGAATCCAAGATGAGTTGACAGCATATGTAAGCGAGCCACAGACAACACTTGCCGAAGGTGACGATAATAGACGACCAGTAAGCTACGAATTGGAGTACTGGCAACGCACAAGCACAACGTACGTGCAGTTAGCAAAAATGGCACGCAAGTTTCTCGCCATCCCTGCAACGTCAACATCTTGTGAGCGCTTGTTTTCGGATGTCAAAGGATTCGTGCCATCTGAACGAAATAGATTATTGCCGGAAGCATTACAAGAAAGCGTTTTGGTAAAGGCTTGGTCAAAAATAACAACCGACTAAAAAAATTTCCACCACCTTTATCCCTTTTTTTTTCTCACTTTCCGATCTTTGTCGTTCCTATTTGATTTGTCTCTTTTTCACTCCTCTTTCCTTTCGTTCATTTTTTTTGCTCCTATTGCTAAACTGCTCACTTACTTTTTACACTTCTTCCTGTTTCCTTTTTTAACGGCCTTCCCTATTTTGTTCTTCCTTTTACTCTAAAGTCTAAGTTATCTTTGGTCTTCAGGTATCCTTATTTATTAAATCCTATATACTTTGCACCGTTAGGCCTTAGCGCTTCCCCTTATCTTCATACTCTGCCCTTCATATAAAATAAACAGTATTCGCATATGTCATCATAATATTCTTTTTTCCCTTTCGTATATCTTGCTATACACTTGAATAAAGGAACCGTTGGATAACTAGTACTGTCCCAAATCTAAACTATAGACACTCGGGTCACAACGGGTCAACGGGTCGGGTCAAGGGTTGGACGGGTCGACCCGTGGGTCAGAAAAGCAGCAACCCGACCCGTTGACCCGTCCTTGACCTGTGGGTTGGTTTTGACCTGCGGGTCAGATTGCGACCCCTAATCACCAGTATTCCCGCCCTTTGCTGAACAACGACAGTATTTGGATGGCAGAACACCTATATGAATTGCACTGACATTTTGCTCGGTTTACTTCGAAGGACCAGGCCAGAAGGAACAAAAAAATAGAAAAAAAATGAAAGCAAGACATCACCCGCAGAAGGCAAGAGGTGATTAATAGACTTAAGAGAGAGGGAAAGTGGGGAAAATTTCCCTTTGACAACCTTAGTGAGATACAGCCTTAGTAATAGAAAGAATATATCTTTTTTTTTAAATTTGATCTATTACTTTCCATGTTAGAATTACTTTAATGTATCATTTCCATTGTTGGTTGAAGTCTGTTCATTAGCGTCACTGTAAAAAGGTGGATCAGACTAGTTTAAGGATTTTAAACCCGACCGCAAACAGAGATACACACTCTCTTTCTCCCAAAATGGATACCTCAAACGTTCCTGAAAATTACGAGTCTTACGCTGAAAGCACGACAGTTGTTCTCCCTGCCACAAGGGGAGAACGTGGCCGCATCAGAGGAAGGCCTAACGATGACGAGGTAACGAGGCTTTACATGCTTCAACTCCCCCCTGTGATTGTCAATGGCGCAATTTACGAGGATTTTGCCCTGCGCAATTTCGTCAGACGCATGGGTTGGTTGGTGATTCGCCCTGCTTACTTGGACGATGCAGTTCCGAGAGGGCAGCCCAGGATCAGGGTATATGTACATTGCAACGTATGTGTCATCGACGGCGTGCGCTCCTTGTATGAACATGAAGCGATACAGGAGATGGTGGAACGCGGATTCGAGGTAGATCTTAAGCCACTTTCATCTTTCGTCATCTTTATTAAAATATGGATATCTAGGTGTTGAAAGAGAAGCCGACATATGCCCCACAGACTGTCCTGCACCTTTACTTTTCGGGAAAGCTGTGGTACATTACCGGGGTGAATGGCTTTGTATACAACATATCATCAACGATCATGAACAATCCGCAGGTGACAACGTACCGAGAACTTCTGCAGTTGTTTCGATCTTTTGATCGAAAAGATATGTCGCTTGAAAGGGTGAATGACGACGATGTGCAGCGCAGAAGAGAGCGAGATCGCCAAGATGGAATGAAAGCTTGGCAAGAGTGGCCATCGCATCAGCAGCAACAATAAAAGGCTGTAGGTCATTTTGACATGCACATGCAGACACTGCATTAATGTATACTAGTTTATGCTGCTTGACTTATAACCATCCATATCAGAAACTGTTGTGAATTCATCTTTTTGTCTTTATATTGAGCAGAGGGAAATCAATAGGCTTTTCTGTAGAGCATGAAGTATGATTATCAGGTTGAGTAATGGCACAAAGTATATCAATAAGTCGTGCGTTATTTCTGTGTCTATTATAGCTTTAGGCTGCTACACTTGATCATTATATGGGGACCGGCCATGGTTATGATGATTTTAATGCGGTCTAGTAGCCCTAGATGACTTTTTAGCTAAGATATATCAGGATAGCCAAATTAATTTCTATTGAAATAATTCATGCATGAATGTCTTGGTATGCATACATTTAAATTTTTGAAAAAAATAAAAATTGGATTTCTTTTAATATAAAAATAACACCACAGAATATAAAGCAAAATATATTTGTTATCTTTTTAGCACTCCAACAAAACTACCCCAACGAAAACACAATATGGATCAAATGAACCTCCTCACATTTATTGCCATTATGGCTGAATTTATTCCTATTTTAGGAATAACATTGACGCTCTTAATAGAAAGAGCAAAGCATCTTACTGAACATCATCAAGATGTTAGTGAAAAAACAATTGCTGACCAACTAAGGGTCGAACTCGAAAAGGACCTCATAAAGGCTAACATAACAAAGGAAGTAAGGGACGAGAACCGTACTGTAATAATGGGACAGATTAGGGCTTTTGCAAAATTCCTCAAATCCTCAAATCCTCAATTTTCCGATGCAATGTTAAAGGGTAACACCTCTGGTGCAGATTCCTCACAGGGCGGCAAAGAATTCCGATTCCAAAACACTAAAGGGCTGTTCACATATATTTGTAAGGACTTCCATTTAACAAAAGAACAAATCATGGAATGGTTTATAAAACATGAACGTATTGGTTATCGAATTGAAAAGGCAATTGTATGTGATGAAATTGCACCAGAAACTGGTGAGAAACATGTTCATATATGGATACAAATGAATGAGCGGTTCGACACAAAAACAGCACGTAAATTCTTTACTATCGATGGTGTTACTCCAAATATTAAGCCAGGTGGTAATCCACAAAAGTCCATTAGCTACTGTATGACAGGAAAAGATTATATTTGTTATAATATGGATCCAAATTATGAAGTTAAGACCAGAAAAATGCACCAACAGTTACTTGGATATCAATTAATTACGAAGCAGCTTAATATGTGGAAGGCTACCGAAATATATCCAGAATTGCTATTTAAATATGATACTGTAAGATCAAATTTAAATTCTTACTTTCATGATGCCAATATAGAAAATAACCTTGGAAATAAACTACATATGTGGTCTATGTTTGGGATTGAAACAATGTTTGGTGGTAAAAATAAGATACCACAATACTGGATTGTATGTCCATCAAATGTAGGTAAGACATATAGCATTGATGTATTAGAACAAGGTGGCCATCGAGCATATCTAATGAATAAAGAAAATGATTAGTCAGATTATAAGGATGATGATTATGATTTTATGTATAATGAAGAAACAGGTTCTGATTTCAAATTAACATTTTTAAACCAAATGTTAGAAGGAACACGGTTAAAACTTAATGGTAAATTCACAAAGTCAATAACTAAAAAGAAAAATATGCCAATAATACTGAATAGTAACTATATGCCGCACATGTTATACAAAAATAAATCAGTATATGAGTTAGAACCAACGCTCAATCGTTTATATATTATCTATGTTGATAAGAACTGTAAAGGTCATATAATATGGAATCCATACACAATGAAGGTGAAGGATTATGAAAATAAATTCATGTATTATGAAAACATGGATATGTATGAAGACTTATACAAAGATGAATTCGAAAACGAATACCAAGATCAGCATACATTTATCCGTTATGCACATAATAGTGGTCAGGATGGTATTAAAAAATATACACCGATGGATAAAACAGTAGAGGAACTGCAAGAATTAGCTGATACAGAAGAATATATGAAGGAACAAGAAAAAAAACATAATAGTAATAATTAGGGATCCGTACGGTTCGGTTCGGTTCGGTTCTTGAAGGGAACCGAGCCGAATCTTCTAAAGCAAGAACCGAACCGACTAGAACTGACTAGAACCGACTAGAACCGACGAGAACCGTAGAACCGAAGGATCGAACCGAAGAGCCAAACCCTTCATGTATATAAAAAAGGCAAGATCCGGTATCTTTAAATGAAAGCTGATGTGTGTGTTCAAATGTCGCGGTATACTTGAATACTGCAGTAAAAAAGAATAGTTTATTATTGTACATTGAACAGCGATCTCAAAATGAATAAGAGAAACAGAATGTAAACATTCTTATACGATGTGGGTCATTGCATGGTTAAAAGATTGAAGCACAGTTTTTACAAAAAAAAGTGGAGCTTATAGTACTTACTTAGAGCGACTTAGTATTACTAGTACAATATGTAATCGTAACATTGGAGGAATTGAACCACAACCGGCAGTACATACAGCTGCTGTGTCTCTACGTGTGTATAGTGTATAGTGTCTCATAAAAGGCAAAGGGTGAATGGGTAAGATAATTCTGTTATGAGCCCCAGAATGCGCAATCTCAAACGGAATGCACAAACTTGATAAAACTGATCGAGAAGCCATAATAAATCTAGTAAAGTAGTACGTCATGGAGAAATATGCATTGTGGGTAGCAAAGTAGAGGAACAAGTAATGATGTGCGTCATGGGCGGAGAAAGCAAGCTGCCGTCAGAAGAAGTGTTTTTTTATTTTTTTCTCTTCTCTTCTTTACTATTTTTCACTCCCTTCTGCTTTTGCAGGTTTCAATAAAGTATGGCTTGCAAATACACTACTTCGTGGTCTTTTCGAAATAACATTGTTCGTAACTTCCATTATAGCCTACTTTATACTAATTACCAAAATCGCTGATTGCAATCTTCTGCCTCTCGGTTCTTCGGTTCTAAGTATACAGAACCGGTTCGGTTCCGGTTCGGTCCTTGGTAGGAACCGAACCGTATTTTCTTGGTTTCGGTTCAGTTCGGTTCCGGTTCTACGGTTCTGATACGGATCCCTAGTAATAATACATAGAACAATAAACAACATAAACCGCCTCAACAAAATAATAGAGGATGGTTAACTGTAAAGGTACCATCATCAGTAGATTGTAGGCATTGGGAAGATGTGTTTAATGATATAAAATGTGATGATGTTGTAAATGATACTACTGATTGGGAAAACCCACCAGAAGATATAGAGAAACATAAATACATAGATGTAAGTACATCTGAATCAGAGAAAAGCAGTGACTGCAACATACCAAATAATATACCAAAACGTAAAAAGAAAAAAAGACACATTAAAAATAAACGGAGAAACAAGCAAATAGTAGAAGAAATACAGCCAAAAGAATATTTTAAAAAGCATAAGGATATAAAACAGGCTATAATAGATGATATAGATATAACAAAAGAAACTGACGTCAAAAATAAATCAACAGATACTAATATAAGTACAAGTATAACTAATGAATGCATAAAACATAAATATAATTGGGTAAGTAAATGAAAAGTTGATGCGGTCAGTTTCAATATGAAATTTTTTAATATGCAAATAAGTAAGAAATTAATTTAGAGCTGAATACCATGTGTGGCCTTATATTCATGTAGCATTTCCCAGGAATTAAACTTATCAACTGTTAACCAACTATTATCCTTTACACTATATCCAACCCACTTAACCTCAAATATGTACTTATTATCAGTATACACATGTCCTACAATCTTCTCAATTTCATATGAATTACTATGTTCTATATTTCTCTGTTCTCTTTGATTGTATTGCGTTTTCTCTACCACAATCCCTGTCGATGGTCGCTCATCTCCTGATGTGGTAGGCTTCCTCTTAGCCGCGCCTGATTGGCTTGTTTATTCTCAGATAATAAATAAATTTAAAATTTTTTCATTGACACTATTCCTTAGCCTTCCTTCAAGCCACGCATTCGTAGTATACTAGAATGACCAATGGGCTTACAGCCCAGCAAACTGAACAATTACAACAACTACTCGAGATCGCCCAACAGACCAATGGTGAGGTCGAAGACAGACAACCAAGAGACACTTCAGCGTCATACCCTTTGCTGGAAGAGATTCTCTCTGACTTGGAGATCTTATCCGAAAACCCGAATAATGCCATCAAACGATTCCAAAAACAACTTCTATGATATGAAGGGGATGCCTGGACGTGGTCTGGCGCTATCAATGCTCCTTTCATCTCCAAACTTAAAAAAGCAACTTTCGAAAGCTACAACGTCATCCAACAAAGATACAAAGATGCAGACAGACTCCGAGCCACAGCACGAGCAGCCACTGAACTGTTTGAAGAGCTACAAGAATTCATCACGAACACCAAGGTCGACAACACCTCAACAGCCGGCACGGCTCCAGGAAACATCAATGAAAAAATATGCAGACTGGCGATCTTTGGCTTTGCCAATGCAAAAGCGATGGACCGAGACACCAAGTACCTTGTCGCAAAAGCTCTCCAGCTTAACGATTATATCAAAGTCGACAGATCCGAAAAAGAGCTGGTGTTCTCCGAGGAGGACGTTAATAACATCCACCAACAATGGCACCAAGATAAACTCATTAGAAGTGCAGTCAGTTCAAAATGTGGAGGATACGGCCAGTGCGGATTTCATGGAAATTGTGGACGAGGCTGAGGTTTTGCACGCAAGGATTTTGGACGAGGGGGACCGAGACCCCCTGCAAACCAGTCACCAAACTCGGACAGTCACTCCCATCAATAATACCACCATCGTCATCAACAACTCCGGCAGTCGCACCGTTGGGTTCAGTAACACAAGCATCCCAACCAACCATCAAGGGGATAGTGCTCAGGGGCGTCTGAGCCACTTTCTGAATCAATGGAAGAAGATTACAGCTCACAAGTGGCCGTTGTCCATCGTCGAAGAAGGCTATCGTCTTCAATGGGTGAGCCCACCTGTGCCCTGGCAGCCACCGAGGATTGTACGCAACCAAACTGAGCAAACAGTTGTGGATCAAGCAGTGAATCGATTCATGTTGGATGGAGTGATTGAGCGCAGTTCCGATTAAGATCGTCGTTTCCTGTCAACCTTATTTACGATTCAAGAACCAAACAAAGTCAGACCTATTTTATCTAGTGTAAAGACCAACTCCTATATCATGTGCCAACATTTCAAGATGGAGGGTATCCCGGCGCTCCGGGACCTTTTAGAACCAATGGACAAGATGGCCAAATGCAATCTGAAGATGGCTTACATGGTAGTCAAGTTGCACAAGGAGTCTCGTTGATATCTAGCATTCGAACATCGAGGGGTTGTCTACCAGTACACAAGCATCCCGTTCGGCATGGCGGTTTCTCCTTTGGTTTTTATGAAAATTCTGTGGTTTGCCCTGGAACCTCTACGCAAGATACATCATATTCGGCTGGTTTACTATCTCGACGACATTTGCGTGTTGGTAAAGACAGATGCACAGCTACAAAGACACATGAATCTGTTGTTGGATCATCTACAGTCATTAGGTTTTGTAATCAATTGGGACAAGAGTGTCCTCACACCCTCTTACCAGCAGACATTTTTGGGATTCGAAATAAATTCCAAGTTTATAACCCTGAAGGCCCATTATCACACGATGCATGCTAAGATCTGGAATGGTGGATGAGGACGCAGGCAACTGATCAAGGGTTACCAGTGCGTCGGCCAGCACTGCCGGAGCCCTGGCTGACAATACAAGTAGATGCTTCCGAAACGGGTTGGGGAGTATCATCTCCGATAAACAGCAGGGTTCTGGACGGCAAGTGAGAAGGAATTGTCGATAAACGTCCGCAAACTCAGGACGATCAAGATTGCAATACAGCTCCATGGGCCAAGGTGCCGAAAGTCTACCATCCGTCTTATGTCCGACAACACGACAGCAATAAAGTATGCCTTCCAGTCGGGAGGAACAGCTTCACGAATATTACAACTGGAAGCCTTGGAGATCTAAGAGCTCTGCAACAAGTACCAACTCCAGATTCACTACCAACACATTTCAGGAGTCCACAATACGACGGCCGATGCTTTGAGCCGGAAGACACAACTGTTATACGAAGCCAAACTTCCCCAGAGGATGTTTTTGAAGATACGCAGACGTTGGCCATGGACGCAGATGACAATCGACGCCTTTGCGGCACGTCACAATCGTCAACTACCTATATATTGGAGTTTTCACAAAGACCCAGAAGCACAAGCAGTGGATGCATTCCAGCAGAAATGGTCGACGAAAGGTCTGTATCTGAACCTGCCTTGGCGTCTCATTCCCAAAGTTTTGCACAAAGTACAAGACGATCGTGTCACGTCGGCAATTCTGGTGACGCCCAACTAGCCCACTCAATTTTGGTATCCAATGGTACAGAGATACAGCAAGGGCAAGCCGTTGCAGCTGAGGATTTCCCGGAAATAGTCTTTGATCGCATGGCACTTATCAAGCAGACACACTCGCAAGCTGGATTAACTGGGGAACTCTGTGCTTTTTTAGAAGGTCAGGTTCGCAAGTCTACAAAAGAAATGTATGATAACATCTGGCATCGGTGGGCATCATGGTGTACTGACCAAGGCAAGGATCCACAACAATTAAATATCCAGTTAATCGCCCGTTATCTGTTGGGTCTACAAAAACAAGGCATTTCGCTTATACATATGAACACGACACGATCGGCGTTGGCATCGGTTTATAAGGTCATGGACCCGATGAACGGTGATATTGCGTCAGACCGTTTGATGCAATCGTTTTTCCAAGCTGCCAGACGAAAAGAAGTGCGACTGCCAAACTCCACAGTGAAATCTGGGATGTGGATGTTTTGTTGAAGCTGGTGCAGTCGTGGCGACCCTCAAGCAAGTTGTCACTGGTAAAACTGCAACATAAAACACTGGTTCTTTTGGCGATAGCATCCATGTAGCGTATACGATCTGATCTTAGGCGATTACAATGGCGAGATGACACAGTTTTTTGTGATCACGATAATAAGTTGAAGGGATTGACATTACTCATCTGTGAACCTAAAGAAAGCTAGGCAAAGGTGTCCAATATTGGACCGCTCTCCGACCAAGATGTTTGTCCAGTGTATACCACTGCTTTATTCATTGAGCGCACGACAGTACTTCGCGAAGCCATTGCCACCGGACCATCATTAGTAGACGACCATACGTTTTTCTTGGCGTATGAGGATCGACCTAGGTTTCGTCATTCCATTCAGACAGCAACTGCAGCAGGGTGGTTGAAGACGCTCATGGAAGAGGCAGGCATTGACACGAGCCATTATAAGCCACACTCTATCCAGGCAGCTGCAGCAACCAAGGCAGTGCTGCAAGGCATAGACATCAAGACAGTCAAGATGCATGCAAATTGGAGTTTGCATACAGATACGTTTGAACGCTACTACCTTCGGCCAAATTGACAACATCGCCGGGGTACAGAAATTGCAGTAGCTATTTTTTCACCAACGGAGAACTGTACCACATCAGGAGACGAGCGACCATCAACAGGGATTGTGGTAGAGAAAACGCAATACAATCAATAAGTTGATGGGAGCGAGACGTGGGATGTAGTAGGTACCTGCCCATGGATCCGCCGGTTCTTCGATCGTAATGTTTTTTCCTTTTTGTATTCTCAATAGATTAGAACATGCCATTTTGCATTTAGAATTGTATTTCCCTTCCCTGCATGATTGTGAAAAAATAGCCTCATACGTGCTTTCTGGAAGGCTAAGGAATAGTGTCAACGAAAAATTTTTAAATTTATTTATTATCTGAGAATAAACAAGCCAATCAGGCACGGCTAAGAGGAAGCCTACCACATCCTGCGTCTCGCTCCCATCAACTTGTTGATTATTTCTCTTGCATTTAGATGTATTATTTTCAGTTTCGTCCTCACTATCTATAGCCATATCTATTGATTGATTAATGTTAAGCTGTAGAAATTTCTGCTGCATGTCAACCTTTTCGTTATATTCAGTATTTACTTTTTGCTCATTTGAAAATACTAAGTCAAGTTTGTTTTTCTTACTTGGGAATTCAAAATCTTTTCCATACCATAATTTATTATGTGGTTGTACCTCTATATTATACTTATTTACAAATCGCCATATATTAGTAAGAATACAAGCAACACGAAACTGAATATTAAAATATCTTATATCGGTTATTTGCAATGCTGCACGATTATTATTAAATCGTTCAAATTTAGAGCCTAACATAGAGAACTGTGCTTCTATTGCTGAACGAAATGATCCAAACTTGTTATTAAAGTATGTCTCATTGATTGTTAGCTTTTGTCCTGGTTCTTTTCTTATGGGATGTAAAAAATTACGATCATAAGAACTATATCCAGCAGCTGTCGCATTATCTTTAAACTTTTGTATAAGTTATATCCACCATCCATTCCTAAACAATCTGCCTCACTTATTTTTTTATATAGTTTCATCTTCTATCAAATAGAGCATGGTCCTTACGATTTCAATCCCAGCGTAAAATCCAGATTTGGAAATTTCACTTTGTAACGACCATGCTTTTTTAATGTTGCACGCTCCTAGGAGACTTGGGTAAACTTCAACTTTGTGCCGTCTTCCTAGACTATTACCACATTGCATTTCTCAATATGAGCTCCGAAGAGGTGTGCTACTTGATTTCATCTGCCATCAATGACATTTGAGGTCTTTCTATAAAAATCGTTGAGCATTTTCCACCGTTAGCTGGGATTCTGACAGACTGCTCTAAATGAGCTACAAATTTACTAACTATTTTTTTTCTGCACATTTCTTGACAAAGCAGTCGACCGATCATACCTATCACTGTGGCTCGCATTGCAATGAGCCATGTCCAGTGCATTCTCGCAGTGTTTCAGTAGAATAGGCAACACATATTTTAACTATGTGTATTTGAATATTACTGCTGCAGCTGTTTGCTTACAAAGCTACAGATAGTTCGTTTTTGTAAAAACTTTTGCGCCTACATTTTGTATCTGTGGCTCGAGCACTCATCGTAGGCAGTAGGCGTTATCATAGAGAATGCCCACTTAACCCTATCAACTGCAGTACTGTGTACTTACTAATTTCTTGGTGATAATGCAATTTTGCTGAAAAGATTACAAACAAACCTCCTCCAATACTTGCTATAGCTACTACCTTGCCACGATCACCTGTGCCTATGATCAACAGTTCACCTCCACCAACTTCTCCTGCTGTTGCTGCCCCACCTTTTAGGGCTTCGGGTTTAGAGCGGGGCAGCACCCTAATGGGAGGGTCGGTGGGAGGGAACGTCCTACAAATATAATTATCAATGTCATATTAGTAAAAGCATCTCTAGGTCGTAACAAATAATAGAACTTCGGGTCTTTGCTTTGGTAAGTAAGTAGGGCGAGCAAAGTGAGCTTTGTTTAGGGTGTAACAATCACATTTTTAGTAAGTATGATAGAGCGAACACAACGGCCTAGGTTTAGGGTGCAACAATCATACCTTTCATGATGTCCCAGAATTTCCACCTCAACAATTGTCCAATACCCGTTTCAAAAGCAAGAGAATTCCACCTCTAAGATTCTGACCTGTAAATTGCAAGGATTGCCCGGGTATTGGACATAGATCGTCTGAGAGTTCGGAGTGCATTAACTCGAGTAACTGACACAGTAATCAGCTACATAATCTTAATCTGAAAGAAGTATTGCCTTTAGGCATTTTTAGTGCAGTGACGACAATGACTTCAAGACCAAAATTATAAAAAACACCATTCTCACTCCTGTCAAGCAGAACAAATTTTCAGCATTGTTTGAAGGTAAAAGGGGGGTGGTAGGGGACATTGCCCCCACCCGGGGTCTGGGGCAGATCCCCAGTAAACTGGTCCCTGGAGGACAGATGCTGACACGCAGCGAAGTGGAGGGGCTCACATCGTCTAGAAGCGAAGCGGAGGGACCAGTTTATATCAATAAACATAGTACCATCATTTCTGATAGCACATTTTTCAGATACTGAAACATGTGTAATTATTTCATCCATATCTTGTATAACTTGTGTACGTACAGCTGGCCCTTTTAATTTATATGAATATAACTGTGAATGTGACTCATTTGGTTTATAATATTTTATTTTACTATCATGTCCATTAATAAATAGTGTAACATTCTTAGAACCATTTGGATTGTTTATTATTGCTGATAGAATGCGAATACATGGTGATGAGAACATACTATCTAGATCTTGTTTTACCTTTTTATTCAATTCATTATAGTTAGTAATCCAGAACCGCTTATATAAATCATAAAATGTTGCATATGGCATAACAGTATGCATATCCTTTCCTAATACACCTAATACTATATGATATAATAATGCA